CATGAATTGCGGTGCCTAGAACCTGACCTATCGTTCTGAGCAAGTTCAGTTTTTTAGGTGTAGATTTCACTGTTGCCTACTCGTTGATAGATTAATCGAATCCGAAGATACTCGCATACGTGCATGACATTGACAATATGGATGCCAACTGGTTATGATCAAGCATGATATTTTGGTTGTCAAAGAAGCGTTTTCACCTCTACTTCGTATATGCACGCATTCAATGTAGCTGATTCGTACAAGTTTTTACCAGTATTCAACCTCCAATGTTGCCTCTGCTATGCACTTCTTCTGTATGGTTTGTGAAGTTATTTACCATTGACATTGTCTTTAACTTAAATTCCACACAGCGAGGCTGAATTGCCCCCTATAACGGTTGAAGATATCGAAGCTACTCGAAAGGCACGGGAACGGGAAACCAAGTGGGCTTTCATGTTAAAAAACTGGGAAAAATATAGTAACTGCAAGAAATATCCAAAGAAATATGAAAAGGTGTGTATTTATACGGATTCAGTACATCGTCAGTTTGAGAGTGGCACTCAAAGCTGATTGCTGCAGGCTATTTGTAAGGGCGTTTTGTAAATACAGTTCTGTGTAGGCTGATTGTGGTCAATCAATTTTACATGTGACTGTCAGAAGTTTATCCTTTACGGCCCTACGGCCCAGAAGTTCGATGCCGATTACTGCATCGTACCATTCGTGTTCTCACTGAGTTTCGTCCGGCTTGTGTCGCATTGTGTCACCATCACCCTTTGTTTGCCATTGAAACCATCTCGCTTTAAACCTTCGACACCGTCTTACATGGTATCGGTGGTACGAGTGCACCCTCGTCGTCACTCGCAGAGCTTTCAAAAGCATGTCCTTTGGCGCGTTCCGCATCAACCACTTGGGAACTGATCAGATTCCACATTCTCATTACTTTTTAGTTACGGCAGCGGATGTACAAGGGCATTCCCGACTCCATGCGCACCACGTTTTGGTCCAAATGTTTGATGGTGGACGCACAGAAGAAAGAGAATTTAGGTGTTTACACCGCCTACACGAAAAGCTTAGCCGACTCTAAGGACATCTCTCAGATTGATCTGGATATCAATAGGACATTCAGAGACCATATAATGTTCAAAAACCGATATTGTATAAAGTAAGTAGCTAGCATCATAGCACTAATGCAAATGCCAGCATTGTGTTGGTTTTTTACCAGTTCATGATACTTAGCCTCGGTTTTTGTACATCATGGTTAGATCCGTGGATCTCACCAACCGGAGGTTCGAAGCTCTCAGTAAGTTTTTACTTCTCAATTTTATTCGGCCTGAATTCACGTCATGCAATTTGCAGGCAACAACATCTCTTCAACGTGCTCGTGAGCTACTCATTACACAATCCCGAGGTAGGCTACTGTCAAGGCATGGCAGGTATCGTAGCTGTCCTGCTGATGTACATGGGAGAGGAAGAGGCCTTCTGGGGCTTAGATGTGCTGTTCAGGAATAGCAAGTACGACATGCATAACTTATACACACCAGGTACGATCCACAAACAATGTCGCACTGATAAGGTCAGAACTGTGTTACGACGATCATTGTTATGATTTCATGTGTCAGGGAGACACGGAAGCGTATTTTTCAGACAAGAGTCAGATAATTTTACGCGCTTGTCAAACCAAATATCATGCGCTGAGCAGACATCGCTTCCAAATAAATGCGAGATTTGTGACAAACGGGGTATCAGGTCAGTTTTCTTCTCTGTAAGGTGGACAAATGTTCGAGATCACAACATTTTACTGTAGTGAGCCATGTGTATCCGTATTGCCTGCACCTTGAATTGTGATGCACAACGCCATGTAGCTCACAGTATACTAATTTATATCGATGCCGGATATTTCTATTGCTCTTCGCTTGCTTTGACACAACGAATTTGCCGTTTCATTGCCGCACTTACTTCCGGTAATCACACAAATGTATTGTATACATTACGGGAACACGCGAGCTATGCTAGACGCCAGAGGTCTATTAAGGAATGCAGTTTTTATGGAAATCGTGTGCCTGTTTTTGCGCTCGCGTGTATACACTTTATGTTTCTCTCTCATACATAAATCTAGTGAGCGTCACTTGCAGGGTGCGTAAAAATTATAAATTCTTAAAAGATATTCTTCGCGATTGCTGATCTCCTAACCACTTTCTCTCGTTTATAGGCTTCCCGAGACTCATAGAGCAGTGGGCGTTGTTCGAGGAATATCTACAGGGGCTGGAACCTAAATTATGGCATCATTTTGTAAGTATCGAGTGTTATTTTACTTTCGCGTTATAACCGTTGCATCAAACGGGAGTGTGTCTCTACATATGCCGTGCCTGTGTAGCTATAACTGCAATCTACAAGGTTTGGCGGCTTGTACAGTCTTCCCGCCCACCTTTTCGTATTTATCCATCACGATTCATGATTAGTTTACATATATATAATATATTTATATAATATATATATATATA